TGCAAAGAATTTGTGAACTTTGTATCGCAAAGAATTAGTTCGTATGGCAAAGAAGCTCTTCGGAAGCTGGCAGAATCATTGCAAACAATGTGATTGCATTGCAAAAAAAATAGTTCGCAAGCTTGCGAAGAACTAGTTCGTAATACGATGCGTGAAAATTCTTTGCAAGCTGCAAAGAAAATAGGTTGCAATACGAACCTATTCTTTGCAAGCATTTTGCAGTGTACAAAGAGTGGTCTTCATCATGGCTAAGCGAAGCTCAGTCCAAGTCGCTGAGGGCTCAGGCGATGTCTGCGTCGCGAGTCTGTCTGACTGTGTCTAACTCACTCGATGGACTACGAAACGGCTGCACAAGTGACAAAATGAGAGTTTGTTCAAACATATTGACATTTCTTGGGGCAGTTTGAAATGCATTTCATTTACTTTCAGAATTTGTTTAGTTTGAAATATTCAATCGTTTTATTTGAATTCGCGCGTGGTTTGTTGGTGTGTTGCGAGAGGGTAAATAGCGCAAATGACACCTGCGCCACTTCAAGACTTTCTTACTCTCTCACACTCTAAATGCAAAGGGACAGTTTGTCCCTAGAAATGGAACGGATTCTTGCACATCCAGAAAGGATGCAATATCGTTCCTTAAATTGGACAAAATTGTGTAAAGTATCACTCAATTTGTCTAGTTTTAGGAATAAAATTGCATCCTTTCTGGATGTGCACGAATCGGTTACATTTCTACGGACAAAATTGTCCTTTTACATTTAGAGTGCACAAGTGATCAAATTGTCGGATTGTGAAACTGAGTATGTTATTTTTAGTTTTAGAGTTGCGGAACTTGTCTTTCTAAGTTCTGCGAATGTCCGATGAGAAGAGACCAAAGTTATATTTCGAATTGTTTACTTACGTTCGCTGTTCAACACTTGTAAGTGTGCAACTCCGTAGTCTTACTCGTTTAACGCGTTGAACGTCCTCAAGGTTTTACCTTAAGTAATTTTTATAGTAACTTTGACACTCCATCTGAATTATTAAATATTTGAGGCCAAAGATGGTCGCTATTGCCAGTTCGAATTGAAATGAATATTGAGAGGCCTGGCGCCTGGCCTGACCCTGAGTTTTTCTGGGCGCTGCGCTGAGTAGCTCTTCTAATAGCCGCGTTCGGCCAATTCGAGGTTTTGGCACTTTTGATTATTGATATACGAGGTTTTGGGACGCAGCATTTTCAGTGCACAATTTAAATTCGTGACCTTACCTCTTTTGAATCGTAACTTTCCGACATTAATCGTAGAACATTTTCTCGTTGTACAACGAATCATTCTCACTGTGGTGTCCGTTTGTCTGTGTTTATATGTCTGTAGTTAGTCTCCCAGGGATTGGCCATAAACCACCCATGTTGTGTTGTAGAGGAAGCCGGGGAGTGTCGATTGGGAGTGGTTCGAGTGCTCCACACACTCGCTGGTGGCACCGGGCACTGGCCCCCGGCTCCCATCGCCCCTCCTCTCTGACGAGTACCTTACCCCTCTATCTTTTATTCTATGCCTCCTAATCGTCGAGTCACCCGCCCCCCCCCCCTTTTTCTGTCCCTTCCGCTCGAACTTGTCCACTTTGTGGACTACCCCTTTCTCTCCGGCTTCTGCTCCTTCCTCCTCGGTGCACCTTCGATCCTCTGTAAGCCGCGCTCCCCTCCTCCCGGTGGATCCGCGGTGACAGCTGTTTTCCATTGCGGCTCTATTTCGATATTCCCTCTCAAGTTGAAACACCCTCGAGTGGCGGCGGGGAGGCGCCATGAGGGAGGCAGAGAAGTCGAAGCTACCAGAAAATCCCTCTCTTATCATACTTTTCTTATTCCTCTTCGCCTTCAGAAACGATTCCTAAGTTCTGGATGAATATACCTCCCTCAGAAAACCGTATTTTTCTGGGAAGAAAATCATGACATTGTCGTAAAGGGTAAAGGGCCTATTAAAAGAAATGGAATTAATCCAAAAGAAGCAACTCTCTTCTTGAAGTGATAAAAGGTTGAGTTCTCAAAAGTAGCTGTTTAAAATAAATGAAACTTGACACCTCAAGTTATCATTGTCAAGTAAAAATAAATAAAATATTCCCTATAATTTATTTTTTCTTTTATACATTTCCTGTTCACACTTTAAGGAAAGAGTTAACTTTCTGCACTAAGTTTACACAGTCAAAATTCGTCCAGTTTTAGAAAGAAAATTGTTTCTTTACTCTGAGAGTGAAGGGTCTTCTTAACAAAGCTTTGATGCTTGCCTTTTATCCTAACGATTCCCAAGCCGGAGTACACATGATTTTGTTCGGCCCCTTTCGTCATTGTCATGGATCGTTGCATGCACAAAATATCTGGAGTCGACTAAAGTAATTATACTGCGTAAACCTTTAAGAAAAGTGCGTAACACTTTAACAATACTGTGTATTGTAGTCTGGGATTGCAAACCCACTGCAGTGCTTCCGGGACACGCGGGCCTGTGGGGGCGCGGTAGACTAGGAAAGGGTAGGAAGAAGAGGGAAAGGGGGGAGGGGGGCAGAAAAAGACTAAGGGCCCGAAGGGGTTCGGCAGGGGGTAAGGCCCTGCATAAACGTGGCGACAAATGAGTCTAGTGAGATCGATATCTCGAGGTAGACCCGAGTAAAAATAAACTAGCATCGACCTTTCCGAGAGATCGATATGGCGAGCGTTTGTGCGGCAGGTCGCTCGTCGGGCCGCACTCCCTCGCAACCCACACGCCTTGCCCCACCACGCCACGCTGCGCCCCGCCGTGCCCCGTCACGCCCCTATCGGTCACGTGGTCAGACGTGTATCATTTGGACTGAAGCGGCTGTCTGGCTGGTCGTCCTGAGGCTGGTTGAGGTGGAGGGAGGAGGGGGATCTGCGCGACCCGCTGTTCTTGGGTCTCTGCTTTAATTGCTAGTCGGCAGCAGAGGCGACTTTTTCTATTATAGTATTTTCCTTTTCTTACACGATGGTATCTCATCGGGTGGGTCTTGGCCTGGTGGTTCTGGCCTCGCCTCGCGCCCCGTTTCCGACTGGTGGCTCCCTGCCTTCGAGGCGCGCGCAGAATACTCCACTACCGGGTGGGGCGCCGCGCCGGGAGGGGAGC